GACAGCTGTCAACCAACACCCCCAGGTCTTTTTCCACCAGGCAGCTTTCCAGCCACTCTCCCCCACACCTGTAGCATTGCCTGGGGTTGTTGTGACCAAAGTGCAGGAGAAGCTGCAGCAGGACAAGAACAACCAAATCTAAACCCCACCCTGGTGTGCCGGAGCTTGCTGCACCCACCTTCACGGTTCCTCCCGCTGGTAAGTGTCCCACGTTGTCCAGGGAACCCACTTTGGCTTGGGCCTTCTCCTTGAAGTTCAGCTTCTGGTTCTCGATTTTGACATCTCCTCCCCCTAGAACAAGATGGTGCAGGGGTTTGTTAACGTCCCCAGAACAGTACCACCTGAGATCTGTCCCTTTCCCAGCCCCACCAAGGAACTATTGGGGACCCAATGTACTTTGGAGGAGGGACATGAGCAAGTAACACATTTGGTGTCCCTGTCTCTCTCCAGTTAAGGTTCAGTTTAAAAAAGGGTAAGGTCAAAGTTGGTCATCTGCCCCCGTGCAGGCCAAGCAAGCAGGGGCTGCACGGCCAAGCCCTGGAGGTGCCCTCAGGTGGGGAACACCACATGTCCGGACGGACGGACAGGCTGGGTGATATCCCCACCCCAGCTGCCTTGCTAGATCTCGCTCATGAGTCTGCCTCCCCCAGCAGATCCCGCCCTGGTGCAGTTCTGGTGGCAAACACCAGCTGCCCGCTCCTCTCCACGTCCCTTGCCAAGGTCTCTGCCAGCTCAGCCCATCGGCATTGTCATCAGTGCCGGCACATGTTTTTGTTAACCGCGTTCCTTTCCTCGTTATCCGTTCCCACTTCTCCATCTTTGGCAGTTGCCTGGCTGCCTGGACAGACAGCTCCTCCCGGACACACAGACCCACGCAGGAGGCAGCCGCGCAGGCAGGGAGCAGCCACGTGTGGGAACTGGATGAGCAATCCAGGTTCGAGAGAACGTGAAGGTCAGAAAAAACAACTGTAGGTTTCTAGCAAGATCTTCCCAGATTTGGAATACTGCAGTTCCCGTTAATATACGAGACTGTACGTGCAGTCCATATTCCAGTAGGTTTCTCAAAAAAACCTATTTAAGCATCGCCAAGCATGGCTTTGCTTCCCAGTGGCATCGTTAAATACTCAGTCCTCGGCACTTTGGACGCTTGGCATGGCCAATGATGGAAGCCAACTGATTCAGCCTAGCAAAATCAGTTAAAGCATCTGACAGCAGATCATTCCGGATGGATTATTCTGCTTTAATCAGCCCTGGACAAGAGCGGTCATTGTGGCGCACAGCTCGTTATAACCGAGCACTGAATGAACAGAGGTCGTGTTTGTGGCACCACGTTCTCCAAGCGGGAGCGCGTTGGAGGCATCGGGCCGTGGTGCTCGGCGTGCAAGGTTGAACTGCTTTCAACCTAACGGGCGGGCAGGAAGGCGGCAGGGAACTCCCAGCAGCAGACAAAGACAACCTTGTAGAGTTTGGTTTTAGCTTCGGTCAGCAAACTTGCCCCCCGTGCATGGATGTGGGATTGCCAGGAGTTCTCCTGTGCGGACAACTGTCCTCAGATGCAAACCAGCAGGAGGCACTGAACTGACCATAGGTTAGGATGCTCCAAAGGTACAGTTCAAACCATCTGCCTGCAGCCCCCGGACCTCGAACTGGAGTCTCGCCTACGCTCCAGCCGAGCGCAGGGCCGGTCGCTGCTGGGTTAGGGACCCCGAGATCCGCAGGAATTCACGCGGGGTAATTGCTGTTCTCTCGGCGGGGAGCAAATAATTCCTGCATGGTCATCCCATAATATGTCATTAAAGAGCCACAAGTGTTGGAGCTGCTCCTGAACTGAAGGCTGAAAAGACCCTTGGGTCTGCTCTGAAGAAGCAGAGGGAAGTTATTTCATCTTGTACTTAATGGTCTGAAATTGTGCCAGGGCAGGGTGAGGTTGGCCATGGGGAACAATTCCTTCCCCTTGGGGCTGTCAGGCACTGGAAGGGGCTGCCCAGGGAAGGGGTCGAGTCCCCAGCCCTGGGGGGATTTAACAGCCGGGCAGAGGCGGTGCTGAGGGCCAGGGTTTGGGGGTGGGATGGCAGGGGTAGGGGAACGGTTGGGCTGGGGGAGCTGAAAGGGCTTTGCCAACCCAAACCATTCTGGGATTCTGTGATTCCATCCTTCCATAGCACACACGTTCAGAGAGCCCCAAAGCCCTCTGGCAGCATGGAAGAAGCTTCCAGACTCCTGGAATGGTCATGGTTAAGTATCCACTTTTTTTTTTTTTTTTTTTTTTTTTTAATGGAGAGGGGAAATAAAAAAAGAACAAAAAAAAACCAGTGGGTGCTTGGAGAACTGAGTGGAAGCAGCAGATTATCTTCACAAGCAAGATGAAATCCCACATCTCCTAATCCCCGTCTCCGCTGATGAACCCACCAGGTTCACTAAGGAGCTAGCAAGTACTTCCAGAAATACTCCCCGAAAGCAACAAACCCAACCCCCTTTAAGCTATTTCCACCGCAATCCAGGACTCTATTTAACCGCCTTGCAATATCCGCAGACAAATCATGAGGAAATGGTAAAAAAAGTTCTACCTGGCTTATGCTTGATGTTGGCTTTAGAGCCACACTTGGAGGACACTTTGGAAAGGTCAACTTTCTTGTTCTGGATCTGCACCTAAAGAGGCAAAAAGAAAGAACTCAACACAACGAAACATCTCCTGTGAATCTGAGGGCCCAGGGGCCACCTCAAACATGGGGTCACAATGAACTGGCACCCCCATTTCTACCACGTTATTTTCTCCTATAGGTTTCCCAGCCCCGCTATGCCATGCGCTATAGGCAGCTGGGGCGTTTCTTAAGCCAGAAGTGGTTAATGTGAGCAGACAGAAATTGAGATCAGATAAAACCGACAGATGGATGGGAACCAGAAACGGGAATTGTGAGTTCACTGCACATTCACAGAACATGGAAGCACTTGGGAGAGGGACCCAAAAAAAAGCCCATCCCATTGCTGTGTTTCCCAGGCTGTTTTTGCCCAGCGCTGGCTCTGCTCTGTCTTACAAGGAGCGGCTGGGGGGGGTGGGGGGGGGCAGCCCGGGGCAGAGGGA